GTATGAATGGGAGCCTCCCGCCTCCCCGGCGCGGTGTAGCTTAGCGTAGTGTAGTGGAGGTGCTGTCCGCGAGCCGGGGGAGCGGCTGCTCCACGTGGGTGCTCCGCGCCGCGCCGCAGCGGGGTCCTGTCCTCCGAGCTGTAGGTCCCAAGTCCCCCCGGCTGGCAGCAGGGCATCTCTTCCATCCCAGGCCCCAAGGGCTGCTCTGTTGTGGCGTCTCCCTGCAACCCGTCTTACCTGGGTCCACCAAGGCAGCACACCTGCTTCCTCACCGCTCCTCTGGGGCGGTTTTGTACCCGCCGAGGTGCTGGGGCCTGAAGCCCCCCTTATGGAAATGGGAGGCTTCTCCCTAGCTCGCTCCTGCAGCCCTATGGCTGAGGGCGGGCGAAACCTGGGGTGTAGGCTGCAGGATGGGGCCACAGCCAGAACAGCTTTTAACACATTCATTTATATAACCCGCAAATGCGCGACGGCGGTTCCGGTTAAAACTGTACAGGCAGTCCTCGACTTACAACGTTTCGAGTTACAACGTCTCGCACTTACAACGTTTATAAATTGACACCCGGTTTTGACTTTATGACGCCAGTTTCGACTTTACAACACTTGATCTGATGCGATGCCACGCCAGCGAACAAGTTCACTGCGTCACCCATCTCCCTGGAGAACATCTGTCCAAACAGCCTTGGACACTTTCTTTAAGAAAGCAGACGAGACTCCAGGAAAGCCTGCAGCCAAGTCTCCTGAGAAGACTCCAGCCAACAACCCTTCACAGTCCAACCAAAAGCCATTCAAAAGGTCCAGTAAAGTCACCTTAAAGAAGTCCTTCCAAATCAATATGATTGCTATTTACAATATAAATACATTAATGTAGCTATATGACTCATCTATAATTGATCGAGTACAAAATTCTGGGGTATTTTTGGTGAAAATAGGGTATCGGGCCTTGGTTCAGGAACCAATCCCCCATTTATAACATTGTTTCTTATGAGAAAATTGGTTCTGAGTTACAACGTTTCGACTTAAGATGCTTTTTTTCAGGAACCAATTGTGTCGTAAGTCCGAATACTGCCTGTATAGCAATTTTATTTTAACTGCATAGCTATCTAAATCAATATGCTAAAAGTTGGTCAGGCCATGACCCAGGTGGCCCACCCTGTTCTGAGGCCTATGACTTGGGGGCATCCAAACCCCAAGCCTCCACTTGGGCCTGCACGTAGGATGCCTGCCAAAAGATGCTGGAAACATCTAAAGCCCCTGGTGGGGGTGGAGGATGTTTGCCGGTTGTTGGGCCATTTATGGTTCTGGACTGGCTCATGGATTTGGACTTGATTTGGCTGATTTGGTTTGGAACATGAAAAATTTCTTAAAAAAAAAAAGTCTTCCTGCAACGCTCAGAGGATGGTGTGGGGTCTTTGCCCTTCCCAACAGCCTCTGCATCAGGAGAATTGGGGGGAAACCTCTGCCTTTCTGCAGTGCCCCCAAGGATGGCAAAATGGGGCTGGTGCTGTTCTTCCATGAGGACAGGGCAGGAAGGGGCAGCCCCATCAGGCTGTTCTCCATTGTAGGGGAAGCACTGGTAACCTGGGGAGTGTCTTGTGTTGTGTCAGGGTTGGCTGCTTAGTTTTGCTAAGAAATTAGACAGGGGATTTTTATAGGGTGGTTTGGATGGGGATGATCCTGCCTCAGGCAGAGGGTTGGCCTAGGTGACTTCTGGAAGTCCCTTCCCTTCCAGCCCTACTTCTTGATGAGTCTATGAAGAGCAGGGATTGGAGTTGTGTCAGTAGCTGGCAACTAGAGTTGTTCCTGGAGGAGACATATAACCTGGATCCCACCACCAATTTTTTGATGGTGCTGACAAACTCCTGGTGACCATTGAGCTGCTGGCATGCTGAGACTGCTGCCTGTTGAGCAAACCAGTATTTTCTCACTGTTCCCTCTAGCTTCCCCATCTCTCCATATTGCTCTGTTGTCTCTAGTCTGATACTCAGATTGCAACCGCTTTCAGACAGGCACTGGTTTTTCATTCTGTGTCTTCAGAGCTACAGGTGTAATGACACGGGCAGGCACCTGGGGCAGCTGCCATGCACAGGGCAGCTTCTGGTTGCCACTGCATCATCAGTCACAATTGCACAGCTGTGGCAGCAGCCGTTTTTTTCCCCCGCCAACCTCCTGCCAAGTTAACACCCAGGACAGCTGCCCCTGTCGCCCTGACCTAGTTATGCCACTGTTTTATGGCACCCAGCGCTGTGGGGTCCTTACCAGACGTGACCTTTCCATAAGCCTAATGGACTGGAGAAATGACTGCTCCCCTTTGGAACTGGTTGAAAAACATCAGACACCAAAACCAAAAGATTTAGCAGGGGTGTACCAGTTTTTGTCAGGAAAGGTTTCCCAGCTCCCGGGTGGACTTTCTGGAGAGGACTCCACCTAAGGATAACCATTAGGCCTCTGCTTGGGGCACCTACCTGGGACACTGAGGTCTAAGTCTCTGACCTAAATTGAACAGTTCCCTAACCACTGGGCCACTAGTCATTCTAGGGTTAGCCTCTCTTTTTTTCCATAAAAGCCTCCAGATGAGCCACTTCATGACAATACAGAAAATGTTGAGATGTTGAAAATTTCCCCAGGATATGGAGGCTGATTCCTGCCCAGCCTCGCTGAGTCCTGTCGTGAGTGGCTGGTGCAGTAATTGACTTCTTCTTCCAGCAACAAACCCAGCAGGCTGCAGTAGAGCTCTTCCCAGAAAAAAATTTAAAAATGAGGGAGGTTTCTCAGCAGGTGCAATGTAAACAGGCAAAGGTGGTCGTTCCCATGCATGGAATAATCTCCCTCATGCAGTTTGCCAAAGCAGTCCACACTCTGCACTTCAAGCCTTCCTTCTTGCTTCTTCTGCCAATAACTTGGACCAAGTGATGTAGACCGAGCTTCTAAGCAGCAGCTTTGCACTGAAGTGGTCTCCATTTTTATGCATCTGTTAATGGCGGGATTTTTAGTGGGAGCGGCCCAAACCCACTTTTGCCAATCTGTTATGATTTTAGATCCCACCTGTAATTTGATGGTGGACAAAAAGGGTTATAGGTTAGTCCAAGGTGACCAGCATTATGGCATCCCCACAGCCATGCTGGATAAGGTGCCTGCCTTTCTTAGTATATCAGATTCCACAATTCAAAGGTGAAACAGTAAAGATTTTATTAATACAACAACAGCACAGGACTCAAATGTGGTTAAGGGACAAACAAGAGCAACAAAATATTAAGTTAACACAATAGGGAGCAACAGGAGGACACAGGTTAATATAATACACTAATTACAATAATCAAGCTAAACAAAAGCCATAAGATCAATATGTCACCAGACAGCAGCATGATGAGACCACTCTTTACAAGCAGAGGCACAGAAGCCCTTATCTTCAATACTGAGAGGCAAACTGGAGACTTCTGTCCTCTCCTTGGATACAAGATACTCTTCTCCTCTGCAGGAGAGGGTCCAACCAGGGGACCACCCTCGCTGGCTATGTAGGAGCTGTTACCTTCCTAGGGTGGGACCGGTCCAACCTCCAGGAGACTGCCTCTCTCCTGAAGAACGTGCACTAAACCGCCAGGCTCCAACTGGACTGAACCAGAAACCAACCAAAATCACCCAGACTGGACACTGAGGGGTCTTTTCCACCTTTTTCTTATTCTTTTCCAGCCCCTCATCACCCTGCTTGGCATTATCCAATCATGTGCTGCCAGCCAAACAGTTTGGTACATCCTGTTACTTCTCTTTGCTTGTTGT